CTTTAGACTGGTCTTGAGAAGGCTTTACACTGGTCTTGAGAAGGCTTTAGACCGGTCTTGAGAAGGCTTTAGACCGGTCTTGAGAAGGCTTTAGAGGTCTACCAGAAACATAATGCTTGTAACAAACTAGCCATACGGATATAAGACCTTATATACATTGCCTTGATAAAATATTTATTTGAGATTCGACGGTACATGTTGAGAGGTCAAGAACCCGGATCAAAAAAACTATCCTGTCATACCAAAAGTACTCGTGTCATATAGCGTGCATACCCAATATTCCAATTATTATAATCGTTGCTATTGTTGCAAAATTCTTATATTTGTGGTATATTTTTTCCTTAGCACCGCAACATCAAACCAACCGAGTATGATTATGGCAGGACGAAGATCTTCATTAAAAACCCTCGAACGGTAAGCCGTTGGATATTCTACGCTTCCTTCCTTCCTTCCAGGCGTGTAATGCATTCTTCCCCTCAAATTAACATTTCCTGTTCATTATAAAAACAATTTAATTTTTTTTCAAGAAAATTTTTTTTTCATCTTAGGAAATATAATTTCTCTTAAAATTTTTTAGTAACTTGGAATCTGAGCCATGAATTAAAATATATTAGCTTTCTGGATAATTTGCTAGAGAGAAACAGAGATAAAAGGGAACGGATGGAGGTGAGCGGAAAAAAGGATGCCAGGAAGGAAGGAAAGATCATGTTGATGAAAATAGAAATTGAAATAAAGTGGAGCATAATCTGCACGAAAAGAGAGAGAGAGAGGAGAGAGAGAGAGAGAGAGAAAGAGAGAGAAAGAAAGAAAAAGAAAATAAATTAAAGGAAAACTTTGTCATCTTCTAAAAGATTAAGTTTCAAAATTATCGTTCAAGCTGTCAGGGTTACTATACAGTTTTTTCCGTTGAAAACAGAAACGAAAGTTCGTACTATGAAGCGTTTCAGCTCGCCAAACACTAGTACAGACAGCCTGACAAATCAAGTTAAGACAATTAACTTCTTATTTCATTATAATTCTTATTTCATTGTTTGCACTGCAAACGAAAACTGCTAAAGCTCATTGGAGCTGTCTTCTCACACCGCCATTATTCATTGACAGCGGAAAGGTTTCATAACGATATTCTAATATGACAGAATCCCATGAGGTAGATATCTATACTCGCTTCATTTTTCTTCGTACCTAGCCTTTCTTGTATGTGTGTTGATTTGATTCTAAAGAACTTTCTTTTTCTTATTTATGGAATCTGTTTCTCAGATAGGTATAATATACCTATTTCAAAAAACCTTGTCGCTCGGAGATCTGAAATGGGCGATCTGAGGCTAAACAGAATTTCTTAGCTTTTATGTTTTCTTTGGTTATTACTAACTCAAAGGTCATGCTTGCTTGCAAAACGAAATATAGACTTACCTTAAGTCATTTTGACTCTATTATCGTTTTTGTTTTTTTGCTGAGAACAGTTTCGTTGTTGTTTCAGTTGTTCGACTTGGAAGAAAGACGTAAAGAGGCGATGCATGACCTCGCCGTCATCATCCAGAAGACCTTCCGAGGATGGGTTCAGCGAACCAAGGTTTGTATCTTTAGATCTTTTGTGTGTGGATTATTGTCTTTGTTGAGCTTCTTTAGGATTATCTAGCTGTCGGTCGTGATGTTTTGAGAGTATCAGCAGAATTACAGTTGTTTCCTTATTTGTACCTTTGTGTGGAGGGAAGGGAGAGATAGGAGGGAAGACTGAGAGGGAAAGGGAAGGAAGGGAAGGAAAGGAAAGGGGAAAGACAAAGAAGAGATTGAACAATACGATATTAATTGAGCTGAGCATTTAAATGGCATCCAAATTCATATTATTGAGAGAGAAAAAGAGGAGAAGAATGAAGGGAGAAATGAGGGCAAGAGGAAAAAAGTAGGATAAAAGGAAAGGGAAAGGCGAAGGAAAAGAGAAAATAGGAGTAAACGAATTGAAAGGAAAGTAACAGAGAGTGGAGATCAGAGGAAAGGAATGGGAAAATGGGAAAGAAAACTGGAGAAAATGTAGAAGAAAATAAAAGGAAACTGAAAAGGAAAACAAACGGAAATTAAGATTAAATGAACTGAAAGGAAAGTACGAGTGAGTGGAGACAAGAAGAAAGGAAGGGAAAATGGGAGAGATAGGAATGCAAATGGAAATAACAAAGTCACGGAGTCTGGCTCGTGGCTCTGATCAAATCTGCTATGATTGATTTTCACAAGGCCTTGTTTTTTAGTATATTCTAGTCTTATGGCTTTGTTGTGATTCTGGGCGGGCTCCCTTATCTATCTATTTGCTTGTTTGTAATGCAGTATCGAAAAATGAAGGCAAGCGAAGTGATGATCGCCAAGTACTATCGAGGATTCAGGGTATGTACCTGTAGGCGCAGGGGCAGGGGCGTAACAAGGTCTCAATTACCTCGGTAGACCCCTTGCAGCACTTTGGAATGCAGCTCAATCTGGGGGACAAAAAAATAGGTTCAAATTATCAGGAGATTGGAATTCTTTTGTCTTGTCCCCCAGATCGAGCTCCTTTAACGTCACATGCAAGGGGTCTATAGGAGGGGCAATTTACCATTTTCCCGCAAAAACTACAAAAAAAAAATTTTAGGGGGGGGGGGGGGGGGCATTTGCCGTGATCTTGGCGTTGACTGTGTTCGCGCCGTGTTCATGCCGTGTTTCAGGCATTAGATTGGATGGAGAATAAATTCTCGCGCAAAGTGATTGATCTGGCGTATGCCTTGCCGTGTCGCGACGGTGTTCGTGCCGTGAGCTTTTCACAGTCATACGAAAAGTGCTCTATCTCCAAACTGAACATGGTCATTACGACCATGACCGTGCCGTGTCGTTCCGTGTTCTATGCTAACCTTGTTTGGGTCATCATTCACAGGATCGTCGTAATTACCTGAAGCAGCGTAACGCAGCCATCTTGATCGCTTCTTTTGTCAGAGGATGGAAGGTACTTGCAATCTGCCATGACGTACCAGTGTTATCAATTTACTACTTTGCATTTTTAAATAGACCTTATTCGTGGTGTGACAATGTTTTCCCAATTCAGCGTGACGAACCTCCAGGGGATTCATTTTCTTTTGTTTTTACTCTTCGAAAAATTCATGAGTATCCCAAAGGATACGAAAGGAATAACGATGATATCCCGACGAGTTTCAAAACAATAGCTCTTCATTCCCCCAGAGGTTTGTCACGCTGAATTGGGAAAACATTGTCACACCACGAATTCTTCGTTTGCAATAGACGTCATAGCCGCCATGTTTTTTAAATGAATTCTTTTGTTATATCTTCCAAACCAAGAATAAGGTCTATTGGAAAGGGTGTGGGATTGAATTTTTGAATTTGCCTTTCCGAAGTTTAAAGTAAAACTAGTAGTGACCACGTGTAGTCTAGTGATGCAGATTTTGGGGCGTAGTCTCGGCAAACGAGATGGTCAGAAATGGCAACGCTTTTTGATCTTGTCCCAAATTCATTCCTACATACCTATCCAACATGAAGTCGTCACCGGTCAGTTCTTTTGAACTTTGGAAGGTAARTTTGAGGGGGGAGGGGACAGGGTAAAGTAGTTTCTTTCTCAATGGAAGGGCATGTTTTAAATCGTAGGTGAAAGGAAAGTACTTTATATTTTCGTTTATATATTGGAAGCGGGAAAGGATTTGTTTAACTGGTGTGGAAGATTTTTAGTTTTTAGACTGGAGAAGGTATTAATTTTTACTTTATATTGAATGGGAGGAAAGGCATTTTATCTTTCTAAATTTGAATTGAAGAAGATGGGGTTTTCATTCTAAAATAAAAAGAGGGAATGGGAGGAAAGGCATTTTATCTTTCTAAATTTGAATTGAAGAAGATGGGGTTTTCATTCTAAAATAAAAGGAGGGAATGGGAGGAAAGGCATTTTATCTTTCTAAATTTGAATTGAAGAAGATGGGGTTTTCATTCTAAAATAAAAGGAGGGAATGGGAGGGAGGGAGGGATAGAGGGGGAGAAGGAGGAATAGATGGAGGGAGGGAGGGATGGAGGGAGGGAGGGATAGAGGGAGGGAGGGATAGAGGGAGGGAGGGATAGAGGGAGGGAGGGATAGAGTGGGAGTGATTTTTAGGGCAGGTCGTGCATGTCTATCCGTACTCATACCATACTCCACGCATATCGTTCATAAGCACCTATAAATCAACCCACCTGCAAAATGTGAGACGTCTAACTTCTGCATCACATAGTGTAGTATAAGCATTGCACGGTAAAACAGATAACGCACGATTATAATGCGGAGTCTAATATATCAGAAGGGTGTAGCCTGGTGGGTGGGGCTAATTTATTGTAATATAATCATATTGTTATCTTGACAGGCCAGGAAAGCCTATCGTGCTCTCTTGTACGAAAAGAGGTGTATCTGGGCTGTGGGAGTAATCAAAGCTTACTTCATTGGTTGGCGGGTGAGCCATAACCGCTAGATTTTGTCTGTCTGTCTGTCTCTCCGTCTGTTCGTCTCTCCGTCTGTCTCGTTCTGTCTGTCTGTCAGAATGATTTATAAATGCTTGTTAGCCAGTGCTAACATTTTTACACTAACAATGATCAACCCGTTTTGATCCTAATATACACGGAATCGAAATACGGCGACCAATTTGAATATCTATTCTACACTAACTAGCGACTGACTAGCCTTGTGTTCACGTGGGAACATAAAAGCGTTTTCACATGTATGCTAGTCAGTCGCTGGTTAGTGCAGAACAATAGTTATTCGAATTGGTCAACATTTTTCGATCCGGAGTATTTCACGCTAATACGTAGGAGATATCCACTATAAAACCCACTAAAAAACTTAAAACTAATGGAGACGACGTTTCAATRCTAACGTAGGTTTATTATCAATTCAGTAAGAAAACTTAACCAGTGGAATAATATATGTACGAGCTGAGCCGGTCCACGAAAAAAACATTTCTCAATGATTATGATCATGATTTACTATAGGATGTACACCAAGAGCTTTTAAGAATAACAAGACGTACGTTCTCTACTTTCAAAAAAATGCTGTGTTTTGAGAGACACAAATAGGTAGAAGTCTTGAAGATATAAAGGATGAGTGGATTGGGGAATTAAGTGTTCTGGAGGACGTATGTGTGAAGGCACCTACCTTGGGCTTCCTGTGTCTCTAGGCATGGTTTTGAAAAATAACACGGATCTTGTAATAATGGTTGTAATTGAGAAACACTGCTACACCATTAGGTTTATCAAATAATCCATATGCACCGCGTACAGGTATCCTAAAGCTAATACTTGAGCTAATATTTGAGTCGTTCGGCTGTTGTTAACACAATGAGCTTCACTCAAATATCGGCTGACACAGGATGCCCATCTACTGATTACTCGAGCATGGTAGCATATAAAACAGGAAACCCTGTATCAACACTTTTGCTGGCTGAGCACAAGGGTAGCACAAAATTTCTCAAGCCTTTATTTTTATTATCTTTTTATCTGCTGAATATTTTTACTTTTTAAAAAAATTTTTTCAAATCAATARATTTCAAATTTTATCACAAATTTTTTTTGTTCTTAATTATTTTTTCATTGACTTTTTTGAATTACTATTATAACTATTTAGTTTTTGGGTTAGTGTATACTGATATAAGAAAGAGAAAGTGAGAGAAAAGAGGCTGGTTGAGAGAAGTCTATAATAATAAGCACCTCTCGTTCATACGTAACCTCATCCATTACGATCACCTTTCTTCATGTGGGATCAAGGCTGATTTATATGGTACGGAGATCCTATTTTATTGACAGTCCCACCCCCTGTACTTATTTATGGCCCGTCATTTTTCTGTTTTGGAAAGAGTGCGAAACCTTACAGACGGGTTTCCTGAGATCGATAATCAAAGTGCATTCTGGTCTAGCTCGGGTAAAAACAACACCGTGTTGAACGAAAAATGTTTGTGCCCAAGCTATACTACAATGCACCTCGTTTGCTTTGAAAAATGGTCTATGCGAGAGTTATGTTCATGAGGATGAATGAAATCTTAAGTCGTCCTGAAGCGCTCAAATGACTCGTGCAACATGGCTGTCACGTGAGTCAAATTAGTGTCCAACGTAGCCGCTAATTAGTGTCGTCACGCAACGCTCACTCCCCTAAGTAGCGTTACTTAGGGGAGTGAGCGTTGCGTGACGACACGCGTTGGAGACTAGAATCAAAAGAATTTAATATCCATTTCATTTCATTTTCGGTATCGATCAAATTCCAATCAGATTCGTACCAAGTAAATCAGCCTTAATTACGTCATTTAACGTGAACAAAATACTATATCACCCTTACTGATGGTTGGGTAACCTATTTAACTTTCAGGTACGCAAGCTATGGAATGCCAAATTCCGCAAACACGCCGCTCCCAAGATCATCAAGTTCATTCGCCAGTTCTTGGTGAGTCTTCTTTAGACTGTTAACATTCCCTCTTTTCCTTCTAGACTCAGACGGTCAGGGTTCCCTCCCCCCCCCGTCTTGAATGCGCGGGGAGTGGGGGCACCTTTGAAACGGCACGCGTGAAAAAGAGGAACTGTAAACAGTCTATTTTCAAAGTCGCCTCGTTGGTATTATTTAACCAATTTTTTTTTAGTTTGTTGTGTGCAGCCGCTCTCACACGGGCCGAATGAAAATGAATAGACCTAGCTCAATTTCAAGGACATAGCAATAGGTTTCCAATTAGTAGAGAATTGAAATTGTTTTGTTTTGTCCTTCAAGTTGAGCAGCTTCAAGGGGTCTATTACGTACCTCATGGACCGTTGTCACACGGCGGCCATGTTTATTGTCATGAGAATAAAAACTTCTCTTAACCTGTATAAATTTATTCATAAGCACTTGAATGCGAGGCTACGCGTGGCGGAATCTATCGTTCAAACCAACATGGCTGTCACGTGAAAAAGGCCCATACCAATCAAATATCTATTGACAGTAGTATAGACTGTCTCCGATTATCGCCCCCTCATTAGCACACGGTATGAACCAATGATAGAAGAGTAGGTGATGATCGCGCGCTCAGAGTGAAAAATCCAGACCCGGATGCGGAGCGCGTTCAGAGTCCGGATAATTCGGATCATGCATGGCGCAAACGCAATGAACCACACAAGTGTTTTGAGTTAAAAAAAGATGTTTAGTGAAAAAAGAGAATTATCCGGATTCGGATTGCGTCATCATCCCGCGTCACGTGGTACAATTACTCTTCTATCATTGGTTCATACTGTGTGCTAATGAGGGGGCGATAAACGAAGACAGTCTATACTACTATTGATTTTATTAAATTTTTAATAGTTATTCTTTTTTTTGTCAGACGTACCGGTATTTAACAAGCCTCAGTAAAAACCTACCATCCAAAAGTCCTCTGGATGATCATTGGCCGTCCGCCTCGTCTATGTACCTACAAGCTAATCACACTCTTAAGAAGATGCACCATGCTTGGAGGGTAGGTAGAACTAGAGTACGAACTTTCGACCATCGGGCCTCATGTTCAATGTAGGAGCAGGCTTAGTTAGAGGTCCAAGGTTCACTCCTCAGGATCTCCACGTCTGTTTCGACTTCTCTCTAATCTGTGTAGCTTCAGCTTTGAATACTCTTAAAACAAAGCACTGATGGAGATAAAGTGCGTGCCGTTGGCTTCCATTGATAGCAGTTGAATTTCAACTGAAGGGAACTACCGACGTTAAATCTAGGTCCTTACCTCTTTGTAGGAAATGCCGTGTAATATCTTGTTTTCACTTGAAATCATTTCCTGTCTCGTGCAGTTTGTTCATCAGCTGAATAACAAGTTATTTCTACCTGACAGCATATGGTGGTCAGTGTTTGACTACCATTTGAAGCAGATAATGAGATTCAAAGACTTTGAAGTATTTCAATCAGCTGTCTTGATAATAAGATTTGAAGACAACTGATTGAAACCCAGCAATCATGTCATGTAGTGAGTGAGGCCTTTGCCTCATACAAAACAAGAGAAAATAAATAACACTGTAATCTCTTACACTAATCAGTGCAGCTTTTTTGAACACTCTTTAGTGACCATCCCCCCTCCCCTCCCCTTCCCCGCATCAATTCAATATTTCAATTCTTGTTATTGTTATTGTTTGGTTTGGTCATAGTGTAAGGAATATCGTAAACGTATTGACGAAAACAGAAAAAAGATACTCGAGGAAAAACAGGAGGCGAGCAGTATTTTTAAAGACAAGAAGAAGAGCTATCCTCAAAGGTATCTGATTGAAAATATAAGTACTGTCTAATAAACTCGCAGGAGTGTTTTATCAGGATTTAAAAGCACGAGGCGTAGCCGAGCCCCCTCTGCATCCCATAATTCAAGATGGCCGCCGTGTCAATAAAAAAAGGCTATTGTTGTTACATGTTGAAGGAGGTGGCGGCTGGGTTGTCCTTATCCAACTTTTTTTGATGCTGTTTTTTATGCAATACTGCTCTTTGTCGTCCTGCAAAATGCTGTGTTGTGCTATGCCTCACTTTGTGGGTGCCGTGCTGTACTCACTAGGGACCTTAAGCTACAGGACGGCAACGACGACGACGACGGCAAACATACAATAGCACTAAATAGTTACTCGTTGGAATGTACGAAATACTGTGCATCATTGCCGTCTTATTCTGAAAGTAAGACGTGAAATGTCCTATTTTTTCCCTACTAAAGAGAAGGGCTACGCGAAAAGCTTATCTTTACTGATTTTCGTTATAAGTAAAGCGCTCCCAAAAGACGTCATTTCACTCTAAAACGGGGATGCTTATTGAGTAAAATACTAGGTAAACACGAAATAATAATACAATAGAAGGTTGAAGCGCCTAAATTTCGCCGACGTTGTCGCCCACGTTGCCGTCCTGCAGCTTTTAAAAGGTCCCCACTGCCGTGTCCTAGCGTGCTGCACTATGATTTTTCGTGCTTTGCCATACAGTGCTGTGTTTCCTTGCTTACCTTTCAATCTTCTCTTCTTGCTAGCGTCGCGATACCTTATCAAGGAGATCGTCTGGATCTTGCATCCAACCCCAAATGGAAAAAGAACGCCGGTACTAATGATCGTATCATCTGGGCCGACAATGTCATTAAGGTCCACAGAAGTGACGGAAAGGTACGTACGTCCACTAAATGGGTACGCTTAAAATAAGCCAAGCTCGCTCAATGTCGTTGGTTACAATGTTCAGTCTGACGAATCTTAACAACCGTTTGTTCATTGCCTTATAGTAATAGATAATAGTGCCCAGCTCAGACGGCCGCCTTTCCATGCAAAATCTAATCAGATCAATGTAGAATGTTCGTATTCCCCCAATACTTCACAACCTAGATATACTTTTTAGATAGGCTTTGGTTTCTAGCGGTTATATATCTTGATTTCTTGTTAACTTTTTCCCCCCAGTTTGTCTCTCGAATCCTTGCTGTTACTAGTAAAGAATTCATAGTCGCCGACCCCAAGTCGATGGTATTTAAGTACAGAGTACCTCTGTCAGATTTACAGAAGATCTCTGCCAGCTCGTTCAATGATGGCATCGTTGTCTTCCATATACGATCGGTAAGTCTAACAGACCTTTATTACTGATACAGCGGCCATCTTGAATTATGAGATGCAAAGGGGACAAACGTAGAATTCAAAATTTATAAGGCACATCCTCAGTAATAAAGGGGTGGAATTCTGTCGTCTGTCAGTGGAAGTCTTGGAATTTCAAATAGTATTCCAACTACCAGCAAATTCGATTGCCGTTCAGATGTGCATCTCATTGAAAAGCGTAACATTATATAAAAAGACATATCTGAATATTTCGGAGCATGGTTATAGTGTCACACGTTTCAACCCCTTATGAGTTTCTGTTAGAGCCAAATATGCATCGTACGAGTTCGCTCATGTTATGAAAAAACACGGGAATTATCTGTGACTTGCCAATAGCCTGATAGTATCCACACCAGGGAAAAGGTGCTTGTAGTAATCCTTTTCCTTGGCCTGGATAGCAGACATCAGCCTCTAACAGGGCTAGCTTATTTAAAATTTCAGGACAGAACAGAGAAAGGTCACCTCAAAGGCGACTACATCTTCCATACTAATCACGTGATTGAATTGGTTGCCAAGGTGATGGTGCAACTAGATAAAGAGAATGACCTTCGAGTCCCTGTGGACGTGAGAGACAGGTATCTATGTTAACAGTTTAATACACTTTTATATGTTGAAGGAAATTGTGAGTTAAGAATATGACGTGATGAACCTCCTAGTTAGCATAAACTTAAAACTTGTATAGCTCTCGAACCAAAAATGCTAACAAGAAATGAAAGACACTAGTTTTCTTCTTTTAGGAAGTACTTTAACATGTTTAAATGGTAAAGATTGGAGACATTAAAAATTCACTGTAGTGGCACCAACTATTTTTAATTTTACCATTGTAATCGTTTTCATAGTATTCTGATAAATGACCTTTTTTTCTCCAGCATACCAGTGAATTTCAATGGAGTGGTCATAGAAATGATGTTCAAGAACTCATCGACGAATCTTTCCCAACCTGTTTGTAAGCGCAAGGGTCRGGTTATCAATGTTGCTGTCTAAATCCATGGATTAAATGATTCCTTTAACTATGAAACTTAACCTAACTACAACTTTCAAACTACACCTATTTAATGGGTTAAATGGGATCCCTTTATTCAACTGTATCTCTTAAGAGCCTCTAATTTWAAAAAAACGGTTAATTACCCAGAATAAGATAGTGCTTCAGCCAAGTTTTCTCATGAGTTGGAAACTTGTGGTTTTGACTTGCAGTGCTTACATACTGATAGTATGGTATCATTGTAGAGCATGATGGAGTAGTTTCCCATGATTTTCCTCTCTCCACCAAAACCTAACTAGCTAAAATCCAATTCCATCTGTGAATTAGCCTCACCCTGACATAGATCAGCCTAGAGGTTTTTAGGGTATCGTTAAGATTTGAAGTTGTGCAGAATCTCCTGTGGGACAATTCTAATGAGTGGCAAAAAACCTAAACATGCGATTGCTTACTTCAAAGGGTATATTCCTCCCATCAAAACATGTTTCAACAACTTGTTGTGAAGAGATTGTGGAGAATGTTATTTCCCTATAGGAAAGGGTTACAGGATATGAGGAAAACCAGAGAGAACTACTAAATGACAGTAGAGAATAGGGTATTTTTGCTACAAACATGTGGTCTTTCTCTTTGCGTAAAATCTGCTCTGATATAATCTGTATGAGAAAAGAGCTAGGAAGTCTATATGCTGGCACAAACACATATCATTAGATAAAGGTTAAAATGCTAGGGCCAGGGCTCAGTCTTGAATTTCAATGCAAACCCTAGCATGTGCGTTTTAACTGGTTTAAAAACCAACCAAGCCCTATTTTTAATGTTTGATGGAGGGTTTGAATTTCAATGGAAAACCTGCCCGTGTTTTGAATTCAGACCCACTCTTCCCTGTTAGCATCAATGCTGAATCCAAACAATAGAAATAGGGCATGGTTGGTTTTTAAATAGAATTACAGACTGTAGATAACTAAACCAAACAATCAAATGATTTTAATTCCATCCCTCAATGAAAGGGTATAATTTCTGAATCTCCAAAGATCAATTATATTAATAAATACCAAGTTATGCTGTTGTAAGACAGACTAGTTGTCTGGGACACAAAACCATGAAAAGCACCCAAAAGTGTTTTAGGGGGAGGGTGGGGGCAGCACATTGTTAAGAATGTTATAGACCCCYAGCATGTGACATCAAAGGAGTTCATTTTGGATGACAAAACAAAATAATTTTAATCTCCTGAGAATAGACCTCTTCGGCTTGGGGTAATGTTTTCCCATTTCAGACCACGTCATTCCCTTGAGAATAAGATTCTTTGTTAGAGCTGTATCCATATCTATGTCTTTTCATGTGCAACCGAGCACAAACCTTAAACAAAGAAATGATACTCTAGGGAATGACACATGGTCTGAAATGGGAAAACATTATGTCGGAGCTGAAGAGGTCTATTGGAAACCTATTTTTGTCCTCCAAATTGAGCTGCATTACAAAGTGCTACRAGGTGACAACTGGTTTAGAGTTTGATTATTGGTTGTAGTTGCAAAGCATAGCCTAGCTAAGAATACAAGCACCTTGCTTCAAGAAGCAAGACCACTGGAAACACAAAGTCAACCATTGAAACTGTGAACCAGAAATATATTCGCCACAGTTCAGTTGAATTAGATTTTAACCAAAAAGTATTAGTATTTTCACCTAATAAATATCAATCAATTATAATGTTTATACTGATTCAAACAGGAAATTGTCATGTTTTGTTACTGAAGCTGTAAAACTCACAATGGCATGTTTCAAATAACTCTATTATGAAATGTATTTTTCAAAAATAATAACACACTGTAATAATTGTAGATCTTCAATATTAGTACAGTTATTATTTACTAAATAAAATTATGGTATATTAGTTTAAAGTTTGTTACTCTTGTTTTTTTTAAGACAATTTAGCTTCAATGTTAGAGTGGTTTTTATAAACCCATGAATAGATTAGACTGTAATTGTCAGATAAACACAATAGAAAACAAAAGAATTAGTGCTAAATATGCTAAAGTAGTAAATTTCATGGGGTTATGAAAACCACTATATTTTCCCATTTTAGACCACGTCATTCCCTTGAGAATATTCCTTGTTTGAGTCGTTTCCATAATCATGTGTCTTCTTGTGTGCAACAGTTAAACAAAGAATTGATACTCTGAAGTGGAAAACATTACACCCCAGCTAAAGAGGCCTATTTGTCTAGGAGTTTAATCTTGAAAAGTTGTGACCAAAGCTTTAATATTAGATTTGAATATTTTGATAGTCAAATAAAAGCTGAAATAACTATATAATGAATATCAAGACAAGGTAAAAAACAGTAACTTTAATGTCAACTGTGCACAAGGTAAAAAAAAGCATAACGTTAATTTCAACTGTAACAAAGTTGTATTAATATATAAAACATTTGTAACTTTTTTTTCTGTGATAGACCAAATTCACCCTAATGACCACAAAAATGGTGCAAGATCCAAATATATATTAACTTTACATTAACCCATTTGAAACTTGCCCAAAAAAATTTTTTTGTGGTCATACCAGCAATTTGGGGAAATGCGTTTATTCCATTAACCCCATAAATAAATATAACAATTTCATGACTAACAAACATGGACAAAGGGTGTATCAAACCTCGGAGCTATTGAAAGCAATTGATGCCAAACAAGCAACATCAACATATCAGTTCATAATATCTCCACAAGTTGCTTATGCAGATGTGAAAAAACATTTTGAATTGAAAAGTTTAACAGACACTTTGATGATATGGCGGCCATCTTGAATCGCAAGACATTATGGGGCATCTGCGGGGCAAATAAAGCTTTGTTACAGTAACAACATCAATTGACAGACATAGGTCATTTTGAACCATAAAAGAAATTTCAAATAGAAACTAAGTATTTTTTTTTTCATCTTAGTTTTGTTTTGCCCCCTGGCAAGATGGCCACCGTATCGTCGAAGTAGTCGATTTGAGTGTTTTTTTCATTTATTATTTAGGATGAGCTTTTCTGGTTCTGCTTAAGACCCTTGTTACAGTCTTGAAAATTAAGATGCATTAAAACTAACCTGAGGTTTAACTAAATCCATGCAGAATTTACAATATAAATGGCAACAGCAATATAAACAGTGCCAAGCCTTACTATTTATGTTTTTGTGTGTGTGAATAATCTTCTAACTTTTTATACAATCAATTTAATATATAAAATAGTTTTGAGGATAAAGATCATAAAAATAAATAACTTTTTATTTTGTTCATTCCTATCAAAATATATTGTCTTCATATCATATCATATTTAACCAAAATAGACTATAAGAATAATAAAAAGATACATAACCGTGTAACCAAATAGCAGTATACATTATTCAATATAGTCAAAAAAACAATGAGTATAAAGCAGTAAAAATCGCACAGCTCCATACTGTCACTAACAAATCGGAGGGAAATCCTTTTCAAAGTTTTGTAAGGATCATAATCTTACAAGTTTCTGACTTACATTCAATCTGCCCTAACACAACGAATAGATGATAAGAAATGGCAATTAGTAATAATCGTCATCACTACTATCTCCTGGATCTACAAAGTTGTTAAGAAAACGACTAAGACTATCAACAAAACTGACCCTTTCTTCACATGGGCACTTGAAAGAACCCATACTCCCTGCAAAGAAACATTTGTTGCATTTCTGCAAAACAAGTAAAATACACATTATTAGAATATCAGAAAATAATTCCTTTTAGATTCTTCTTCATCCTGCTTATTTACACCTATTTTAAAAATTACGCGACATGTGTAGTTGGCACTTGAAAGGTATTTCTTGTGTTTTGGCTGCCGTCAATCAAACTTCGGATGATTTGTTTTCATTCAAAAAAGCCCAAGATGATCTTAAGGTTCAACCATTTGAATATTACAGAAAGACAAGTTTGCTTTGTTTCAGAATTTACAAAGCAAGGATTTTGCAAGAGCAACCCGTTTTCATATTTGATTGATGGCAGCTAAAACACAGAAAACGAGACGAGTCATAAGCAGCCCTTGTCATTTTATTATGAAAATAGGTGTAAAATTAAAGTTGTGAGCACTTTTTTTTGGTAGGACATGCAGTATCAAGCTCAAATGTGTTGTCTGCAAGGACAAAATTAGTGCCTCAACCCCACTAATGTCACCCCCTATACCACCCCTTCTGTGAAAGGATACATGGTTAATAAATTTGCAAAATCATTGGCAGATTTAATACAGAAGTGGAGAGCAAAAGGTATTTTGGGAAATGACATGATTATCCTCTGACGTATTCATTTGAGATACACAGTTGATAGAAACATGTCAAAAGCCTCCATGCTTTCTGTCAGTGATGCAACTTGAACAATCCACAAGTTGTATCATTAGATACATCTAATTTATGATATACTTCCCATGTATCATTTTGGTCTCAGCTTCTCTGTTCTTAAACCCAACCATGATTTTGCAATTGAGAGTATTTTGATTTTCCAGAAGCTTTTACTTACAAAGCAGTGGTCATCTCTGTAATCTCCACATCGTTTACAAATAGCACAGTGGTTTCTGGGTCTACATTCATCATCACAGAGAGAAAACCAACACCAGGAGAACTGATATTCTGCTTGACATTCTGGGCATTCAATAACACCAACACAGACATCCTTCAATGGCATTGAGACTTCACAGCATGGGGTGCTTACTTTCTTTTCCCTCAAAAGCTTTGTCAGGTCATTGATCTGTCATGAATTTAGAATAGTCATGTAATATTATTAAAAAACTTTATCCAGTGAAATGGGCAACAAAGCATAGAACTAAGTACTGTGCAAGTAACAAGTAAAATGTTGGTTATATTATGCAATAAGTAACAGTTTAGATTAGACTCTATGAAAAGAATATTTGTTGCATGATTTTGCTGTCATATCCTTTGGACATAGAGAATGGAGAAGATATTAAAACCTTCATATTTCTGAACTATCAGTTCCTGTATGGGGCCCTTCCATGATGTTTGCTCTGCATACATTGACTAACATTTTTTTAAAGGGGGGAATACTATGCTTCTTATTTTTCTCAGTGTAATTCAGCTACAACATACTAGCATAATCATTGGTGGATCCAGGGGGCGATCAAAAGAATTTAGAAAGGAATTCTTACCTATAATGCCTAATTTACATGGAATATTTCTCAATGTTAATCATTTTATGTAAAATGAGCCTCCCCCCCCCCCCCCCAAAAAGATCCTGGATCCACCCCTGAAAACCCATCTTTTTTTCAGACAACTAAATACATATTGACCCATAATTACATCTAAGGAGTATGCGACAAAAGTATTACCCTGAATATGTTCTGCATCAGACATTTATCTTCCTTGGCTAAAGCAACATCTACCCCATTACTGGCCAAGATGTTCAGGGGATTTTTGCAAGATGTGCATTTACAGTCACTTGTGCATTTGCCGTTGGCTTTTACACATTTACATCTCTGGGAATTACAACCAGAAGTGCAAGCACACACTGCTTCAGTACTAGATGAGGAACTTGAACTTGATGCCTTGCGGGGTTTCTTGGCAGCTGAGGATCAAAATACTTAGTTATAGGTACAGTAATAAAATATTGGTCGAGGTTGAGCATGATAACTGGAAATTATCAAGACCAAGGCCATCTTATCTGCCAAAGTCACAGGCTGAGGTCTTACAATATTACAATATTGTAGGAAAAACAAATTCAATAATTTTTTTATTATACATTTTGTAAAATAAGGATAAAGATTTCATCCTGCTTTTGAAAAGATAGCAAACTTAATTTTAATCTCCATTGTGACTTTGAGTGAACTACAGTACCTACAGATAATACATTTATCATCTCAAATTCACATGATATCAAGAATTGGCTGACTGGGCTCTCGGCTAGCCTGAAGAAAGATACTGAGTAAAATGTAATAACTGTAATCTGTACTTTTGATATACCATATAGACAATAGGATATTAAGGCCCCATCCACACTATGCGAGATGAATTTGAATCCACATTTTTCATGCCGAAACTGAAAAAAGTTTTCTGTCCACTCATGAAAATGGATAAAATGTTTTGCATCCACACTTAAGTCTGATAAGAGATGGCAAAAATGCTTCACTGCACATCTGAGCATGTGCATCAAAGCTGACTGATTGTGCCCGCAGCAAATTTTTAGCTTTCCTGCCATGTTCCCATAACAATCATGACGTCATCGTATTYGAAAAATTTTGGATATGAAATGTTCTCCGTCCACACTAATACGCCTAGCCGGCGTTTTCAAATTGTTCCACTCTGGAGACTGTATTCGAAAAAATTCGTTTTCGGTGAAGAATTGTTCCGGATTCACCCGGACTAGTGTGGATGGTAGGCCTAACCSAATGAATAAAAAATCGGATTCAAATATATTGGGAAGTGTGGACGGAGCCAAAGTCTATAAATACAATAGCCCAGCAGAGTAATCTATTAGCCCAGATAATCAGTAATTCCAGAACCTACTAGTATATGAACTAGTGAGTCCTATTTTGTACTAGCCCAGAGCTAAGATTTACTAGTCCCAGACTAGTTGACTAGCGCCAAGTCCCTCTAGGAAACCTCATTCTAACTCCCAACTGGGGAATGGCCCTAAGAGGTCACATGACACAATCCCCTTAAACCAAGGAGATGTGTAAAAATGAAAGCCATATATACAAAAGAGTAAGTCAAGAAGCCTCAATTTTTAAGGACTTAAAAACAGGGCTCAGACTTCTATTTAACACTTGAACACTTACCAGATGGAGCACTATAATTATCTTTTGCATTCTTATGCTTTACAGGCATTACTACAGGTTGTTGTAACAATCTTTTACTTGGATCCATTACAATAGGAGTTCTCAGCATAGCCCTGAATCTGGGATCAAATTCCTCCAAGCGTCCTCTTAGATTAGTTGAACACAAATTTATCTGAATGGCAGAGGTGACAAAAGTAAACAGATCTTGCATTTATTTTGCAGATTACTAATAGTTAGCCAAGTTGTTCATGAACAGAGGCTAAATTCATGACTTACAAGTCTTTTCTTATCAATTGTTTTAGATAGATTAGTTGTATTTGTATCAGTATTTGAAATTAATTCTAAAAAGAAGAGTCTTTTTTTTGTTTTTTTAAGAATTTATTATAAGAAATTAAGAAGGTGCTGCACTAAACACACAAAAATGCTTGCACCTTTGCATGACAACAGATTGCTAATTATTATTAGTCAAATCCAACTAGTGGTCTAACATCAATGCTGGGTTCTGACTGGATGAGCTACTAATAGGCTTTAAGTTATATCCTACCAGTAGTGAAAAGTACCAGCTTTGAAAACCAAAAAAATTAGATTTAATTTTTATTAACCTATTAGTCCTCTCACCCTCATGGCGTATAATTCAATAGCCCATTCCTGCTCAAGTCCTAACAGGCACTGAAGAAGCCAACCAATTTATTGGCATTTTATGGCATTTCTTGCCCTCTAAGCATATTGTTTGCTTCTGGTTTTATCGGGTTTATGTACAGTATGAGATATGACAATTCTACCCAACATTAATGCATGCTATATGGAGCACCACAAATCAGTGTTCAGTTGCAGCTGCCAAATCTTTTCTCTATTGGAAACCATAATTGTCTTAATGAATGATACTTGACATTCAACATAAACTGAAATTGGCCCTTTTCCCTTACCTGATGATAAGGAACAGTCAATATCTGACCGTTTGTCAAGTCAACAGGATTGGAAGTGTCATACTTTGTTGGTAAAGCGCAACCAGTAGCAGATGAGTGCAGCTGTTTACCAAGGAATGTAGAAGGGGCAGAGTTTACTTCAATAAGAAGCTGATGAGGATTCTCTTGTAGGATATTCAGGCCTACTACTGATGAAAATGGTACTTCAATGCTGGCCATGTGCTTTTCTTTTTGAAAGAATAATATAATGGCAGGAGTATCCACCAACTCAAACTCGTATATAAATTTCCTGTTAGATGAGAAATAAAAAAAAAAAATGAACCCAAGAGATTATTTGAGAAATGTTAAAAAAGCCTTGAAGTGTTCATGGTTCGAGTGTGCGCACAGTAATATAACATTTAACAATTTGGTCATCAATATAATTAATTGGGATTTTGGTGTGAACATATTACATACATAAACTTTATTTTATACTTGAATTTCAGAGTAGCTAATGTGTAAGCTAATAAAGTCCTTTTTTTTTACGAGGGTAGCACTTAATAGCCAGTGGCTAACAAACCTGTGGCCCTCATTCCGTGATCGAATTGGAATTTAGGAGTTGATTTTTGTGGAGGGAGGAAAACCGGAGAACCCGGAAAACCCTCAAAGCACAGGAGAGAACCAACAAACAACTCTACTCATATATAACACCGAACCCGGCGGGACTCGAACTCGGGTCACACCGATACGCCACCCGTGCTTATCTTTGAGAAAATGAATTAAGAGTAGGTCTCTGTAAGACTCAAGCAAAGTGGGAAATGACATTTTTTGACCACCCTTGAAATTTGGTGTTTGAGTAGGCCTTTATATGGGATTCACAAAAACAACAACAATTTGGTCACCAAATGTATTGTTGCCATGGAAAAGGCAAGGGTTTTATGAGACGTTAATTTCCAATTTTTGGAATAAATTAAACCCACTCGAAGGTAAAATTCAATGCTGTGTTTCTCATACATGTTAAACTTAATTTCCTTAAAACTTTCGTCAATTATAAAGTATCTTTTCTAGTTTAGAAAAATACCAATAATTGTTAGTTTGTTATTTTGTGCATGAAATATTCGTGCCTTCAAGTAATCGATGTATCAACTGTTTTAGCAACAAGATAAAATGGTCAAAATGTTTATTGGTCGTTCTCCAAAAGTATTGCATTTCTAATATAGAGGCTTGGTGGGAAGTTTTCTGAAACATTGAAGTTACCAAATCGTGCAAAATCTCTGCGGGTACAATCATCTTTAGTCCTTGTATAGTCAAATTATAAGGCCTAAAATTCAAAATGTCCTAAATTCAACCATAWCAAAGCTTCGAAAATTAGCACCAAAAAGATGCCAATAAGCTAAACAAGCATTAGAGGTTGAAGAGTAATACCTAAATAACAAAATCCTAGCAAAAAAAAAAAAATGTTCTAGTCTGCAAACACGGTAAAAAAAATTTTTATTCAAAGTAAACAATGGGTTATTTGCAATTTTCGTCATTTTCAACCTACCTTTATCATTTCTTTGTGACTTTTGTGGCGCTCAACTTTCCAAATTTTCACAAGGAAATGAAATACCTGTAATTATACTTACCTGTGCGGCAGAGTAATAAATTGGATTCATTGACTAAGTGAGTACATTTGCTAAGGCCGAATTTTTGAAGATGTCTGGTCACCACAAAATCTGTCTCATTCAATTTTCCAAACTTCCGGTCAGCGGTTGAAAATGAGGACAACAAATTTAGATCAAGAATTCTTTCTTTCAAATATTCTCAAAATAAGCATATTTTTTACTTTGTAGCCTTCAAAAGTTCAGCATTCATGTTAAATAACAGCTTACAGGTAATTCTGTCACGAAATACAGGAATTTTGAAGCTTGAAGAAACTATAAATGCTGTATTGCTTCGAACGAGAATTCGATGACTTGTGTATTCTGTTGTAATCCTTTATAGAACCACTTAATTATTGCTTGGATTTTAGCTCTTTACGACCAAGGTTAGTTCACTAAATGCTTATTGAGTCTCCAAGAAACATTTCCTTGTGAAAATTTGGAAAGTTGAGCGCCACAAAAGTCACAATGAAACGATAAAGGTAGGTTGAAAATGACGAAAATTGCAAATAACCCATTGTTTACTTTGAATAAATTTTTTTTTACCATGTTTGCAGACTAGAACATTTTTTTTTTTTGCTAGGATTTTGTTATTTAGGTATTACCCTTCAACCTCTAATGCTTGTTTAGCTTATTGGCATCTTTTTGGTGCTAATTTTCGAAGCTTTGWTATGGTTGAATTTAGGACATTTTGAATTTTAGGCCTTATAATTTGACTATACAAGGACTAAAGATGATTGTACCCGCAGAGATTTTGCACGATTTGGTAACTTCAATGTTTCAGAAAACTTCCCACCAAGCCTCTATATTAGAAATGCAATACTTTTGGAGAACGACCAATAAACATTTTGACCATTTTATCTTGTTGCTAAAACAGTTGATACATCGATTACTTGAAGGCACGAATATTTCATGCACAAAATAACAAACTAACAATTATTGGTATTTTTCTAAACTAGAAAAGATACTTTATAATTGACGAAAGTTTTAAGGAAATTAAGTTTAACATGTATGAGAAACACAGCATTGAATTTTACCTTCGAGTGGGTTTAATTTATTCCAAAAATTGGAAATTAACGTCTCATAAAACCCTTGCCGTTTCCATGGCAACAATACATTTGGTGACCAAATTGTTGTTGTTTTTGTGAATCCCATATAAAGGCCTACTCACACACCAAATTTCAAGTGTGGTCAAAAAATKTCATTTCCCACTTTGCTTGAGTCTTACAGAGACCTACTCTTAATAGATATCAAAATGTTTCAAGGATTCAATTCATATACAGTATAACCATCTCATAATCAAAACTCTCCAAACTCACTTTTGGCTAAAGATTACTTTTAGTCTTGATGTCTTTGTAGCTAAGAAGTTTGCAGATTTTGCTTCATACTGTAAAAAAAAACATTCATGACATGATTGATTAATAGGTCTAGTAAATTTTAAAGTGTACTTAATGTACTAAATGTACTTATTTATGCTATATTATATGTCAATTTTTTTTAAGAGCAAAGGCATGGGGGTATTTACATGATAAACCATTTAGAAACGTCTGTCTTTGGCTTCATGACTTAAGGCTTGATATAGGAAATAATAGCCAGACATTTTTTTTGGCAGGACACATAATTTTGCTGAAGTAAAATTTCCCTGCTATTTTATTTTTCATTTGGCAGCTCAAAATTGTTTTAGACTGTCAGTAGTAAAATTCAACCTGCATTATGGCCATTGGCAGGCTGCTACTTGGAGTCCTGTAACTTAAGAATTTCATACAAGACAAGACATTAACTGTACCTTCCAAGAGCCAATGACCATTGACCTAAGATCAAAATGTCGAGCTGGGAATTTCTTTGCATCTATCTTTCCTATCTGGAATTCTGGAATGACCTCTGGAATAGGATCAACAACTGTTGTTCTGGATTGTTGATTATTTGTACGGCTTGATGATGGTTGCTGAGCATTGGCTACTACAGCTGGCTTTAAGAGGTTTCTTGGCACTGCACTGGCTTTAATACCAGTGGATGGTGTGTCAGTAGATGTAGATGGTGCACAGTTGACCAGTTTCGTAGCTGATGTTGGCAGTGATGGAGTTAAAACATGAGGTAATAGAGAATCTACTGGATGTGTTTTAATAATTTGAATGACACCAGTCCTTTCGATTGAAGAGGGACCTGCAGCCCGAGGTATGGTAGCTACAATGTTAGTTGGTAAAGATGGTGCCATGGTGGTACCACTTGAAGCTTTWACAGGCAAACTTGTTGCTGGTATATTGCAGTTGGGTAACTTCTTGTTGACATCTGAGCTGACTACTCTATTAGGGGCTGGTGAAGGTGTTTCCTAATTATTCAGAACAAACATTTGCAATGTTCAACTGAGAGAAGTAAAGTTTAACTTACATGTATTGTGTAGTCAATTTATATTTTCCCTTTATGCTCAATGCTGAATTGAGTCTTTTCAAACTTATTTCCTTTTACAAAATTGACAATCAAAATAGATTAAAACTAAAATTGTTTTCTGCATGTAATACAGTACTCTGTACTGTAACTTATCAAAATATAACCCTTCAGCTTGTTTACATCAATCTATTTATGGCCATCTGAACTATAATATAACGGCTGATCCATAACTGGTCACATGTTGATGTGGACAGCCAGGGCAGATTTGGATGGCCTTCCCCTTTTAAGTGATGTATTTTTTTAAAACTCAGTCAATAGTGTTGAAGATTTTGTCTCAGGACCAAGTTTTCAGACCCACCCTTTTTTTAATTCCTGGATCTGCCCCTGGCCAGTTATTATGCCAAGCGATTGAGTAACCTTTATTTTTTGGCCTGGCTATTAGAGTCACTTTATATTTACTTATGTACTTACAGTGACAACAGAAGTTGACTCAGTTGACTCTTTCTTTTCAGAATGTATTTGAGCATGCAAGGTAGAAGGTGCTGTAATTTTAATTGTTTCTGGGGGGGCCAAATTCTTTATCAAGTTTTCTTGACCCAAAGCAGCAGATTTTATCTCACTGTGGTGTTCAGATTGTGACACAGGAACAACTGCTGAAGGACTAGGAACAGCAACTGCTGCAGTTGGTTCATGGTGATCCGACATGATTAATTGACCTACCAAAAATAGAACATTAACTTAGTATAATAAAGATTTTATTAGGTTTAATGTCTCGTAAATGAAACTAAGAATTATTCTCAATGAGCTCCAAAACATTGTCTTGATCTAAGAGCAAGGCAAACTTAGTCACAAAATTATACAGACTGAAATACAGTTTGCTTCTGTTTTAGAAGCAACATTTTAATTCAGAAACCTTCATTAAAGATTATATTAAAAACTATAAATTAATTCAGAATCAAAGGTGGCATTAGCAGACAAAGAGCACATGCCTCTCACATTAGGGGTCTCTTGTTCGATTCCTGGACTTGGCATGACATGAGAGTATCATCACAGATTAAGACTATTAAGACTTATACTTCCTAATTCTCTTAACATCTCGGTACTTAAGACAAATTCGCGTGATATTCAATAGAAGACTAGTAATATAAAGGGTGCATAGTCAAAAGTATAGTAGTACCCTTAACCCCTTTCGCGGTCACTACATGCACTTCAGTTACTTGGTATGTTTGAAGTACGACGAGTATAAATGTGTATTCCTAGTATCACAGTTTTACAGAAAAAACTGAGTTGAAAATGTTTACTATAAAATGTATTTTTGACATTAAAAATACAAAATGTAGGCGATGACATTTTGTATTCTCAGTCTTGTTCAACATGCACCAAGATGACGACACTAATTTTGTTCGCAGTTTTGGCGCTTAAATTCAAGTTTTTACAAAGGAATTACTTTAAATCTAATAAGCCTTTATGATGATTTATTCTAATAATATAATGAATGCAAATCTAAGTAATGTGAGTAATATAAAAGCAAACAAAGCCAAGAAATTTAGCAAAAACTTTCATCGTGTTTGTTTTAGTAGCTCGTGGTCGTGAAGGTCAAGCTCCGTTCAATATTCATTGAGGACTTAACTCTTTCTTCTGTAAATACTATAACTATAACCTTTTACATTACACTGGCTTGCATAGAGGTATTTTAGATAATTTAAATTCGAAATAAAAGCAAAATTATATCTGCTAAAGAGTAAACATGTAATATATATCGGAAACAGTCTTGTGTTTTTATACTCATTGTGGCCGTGGACACATGACGTTCGAGGTCGCAAAACCGTAACATATTGTCAAAAAAAGCACTTAACGAGACAATAAAGACACTTGTTAATCATTGTTTGAGGTTTAGATTTGAAAATTAGGATAAAATTGTAAAGAAATGATGGTAAAAAGCGAAGTTATTTACCTTGTTTTAGACTCGACGTCTTCGCTATTTAGTCTTGATGTCCTGTTTGGATTTCACACTTTTGGAGGCACGTGAAAGCGCGTGCCACTTTTTTGGCGCGCAAACTGATGAACCAATGAAATTCCGATATTTGATTTTGATTGACAAGCCTCGAGTTGGTTCGATAGGAAATAGCGGAGCGCAGTCATACTAAAAATAGCTTTGCATAATTAGACCCCCCGGCGAGATTCGGACAAACAAACCGATAGTTCACTGTGTATTACTGTGAATGAGTACGCTTCAACCCAAAAAAATCGCGATTTCATTGCAAGATGGTCACTACGAAACACTGTTGTTGGGGACAGCGTAAAAATGACTCGAGATACCCTGACAAACTGCCCAGATCGTTGAAAGAAATGGCAGATTTGGGCAAAAAGATATTTCTCCCTTTTCCGAAGCCATGGAACGATCTTGAGAGATGCCAACGATGGGTTAATGCCTGCTCTCGCGAAGATTTCACTGTA